GCACCATCGCTGCAACGGTGGAGCGACCCCGCCCCGGCACAGTTGGAAGTGTGGGCGAGGGAAAATGTGGGAAGTCTGGTGCAGGTATCAGTAGGACTTAGTCTCACCGCCCTCTGTGGGCAACGTCGACCCTGAGCCGGGAGAGTATAATCCTCCCCCCGGGATATTATGCCCGCATGAGGAACCCCGGCTCTATTTACAGTGAGGGTCTGTCACAGTAGGGAACAAAAAGGCCCCCTACTGTCTTGGCGTTTCCGTAGAATGTAGTGGTCGTAACTGCCCCAGTGTCCGTCTGCCGTCACCCTGTGTGTCATACGTGCAAGTATCCAGATGCTAAAACACAAATAACTGGGGGAAACCATGTAAACTGCCCCACCTAACAACCCTCGTGGGGCCAGCATGCGTAAGCCCCCCACCCGACTCCAGCCCGCACCCAACGTGGGCAACCAACCTGTCTCGGGTCCCCGCCCCTCCCCCTTTGACAGTAATAAGTTGAGCTAAAAGGACTCCCCCCTCTAGCCCCCTGCCCCTCTCCGAAAATCTCCTCACTACCCCGGGCCCCCAGGGAGCGCCCTCATACCCAGCCGGTGACTTAGTAACAGCACAAGGGTAGGATGCCTATTTCATGCCTGGAGCCTTCCTGCGGGTGAGGTGGGGCCCCCCTTCGTGTGTGACTGAAACTCCCGAGCTAGCATCAGCCAACCACAACTCTTTTGGTATGTAATATTGTTATGATATAGTTATATAATATAGTAATAACAGGTTTGGTGTGTTAATATACATAACTGACTGTGAATAGTTCTGGTTTCACAATATAAGGTCATTTACATACTCCGAACAGTTCTCACCATCAAATATGTTTCTGGGGGATAAAAGGGGTGAGTTTAACCTGAGACTACCAGACCTGTAAAACTAGGCTAGAAGTGTGACCCTTTACAAGTTCTACTCCAGAGAGGGTAGGGGCAGAATCAAACCATCTTTATGGTCATATCTACTGGAAAATAGGGTCTCTTGCTTTTTTTTCTTTTTATTTGACCATGTGAGTGGAGGCAGCTGTGTAACCAACCAAAATATGGAAGGTAGAGGGAAACAAGCCATACATAAGTATAATTTATAAAAATCTAAATGTTATGTGTTATGTTGTGTATAAGAACTATGGATTGATACAATGTACACTGCTCAAAAAAATAAAGGGAACACAAAAATAACACATCCTAGATCTGAATGAATTAAATATTCTTCTGAAATACTTTGTTCTTTACATAGTTGAATGTGCTGACAACAAAATCACACAAAAATTAAAATATGGAAATCAAATTTTTCAACGCATGGAGGTCTGGATTTGGAGTCACACTCAAAATAAAGTGTAAAAACACACTACAGGCTGATCCAACTTTGATGTAAGGTCCTTAAAACAAGTCAAAATGAGGCTCAGTAGTGTGTGTGGCCTCCATGTACCTGTATGACCTCCCTACAACGCCTGTGCATGCTCCTGATGAGGTGGCGGATGTTCTCCTGAGGGATCTCATCCCAGACCTGGACTAAAGCATCTGCCAACTCCTGGACAGCTTGTGGTGCAACGTGACGTTGGTGAATGGAGCGAGACATGATATCCCAGATGTGCTCAATTGGATTCAGGTCTGGGGAACGGACAGGCCAGTCCATAGCATCAATGTCTTCGTCTTGCAGGAACTGCTGACACACTCCAGCCACATGAGGTCTAGTATTGTCTTGCATTAGGAGGAACCCAGGGCCAACCGCACCAGCCTATGGTCTCACAAGGGGTCTGAGGATCTCATCTCGGTACCTAATGGCAGTTAGGCTACCTCTGGTGAGCACATGGAGGGCTGTGCGGCCCCCCAAAGAAATGCCACCCCACATCATTACTGACCCACTGCCAAACCGATCATGCTGGAGGATGTTGCAGGCAGCAGAACGTTCTCCACGGCGTCTCCAGACTCTGTCACGTCTGTCACATGTGCTCAGTGTGAACCTGCTTTCATCTGTGAAGAGCACAGGGCGCCAGTGGGGAATTTGCCAATCTTGGTGTTCTCTGGCAAATGCCAAACGGCTTGCACGGTGTTGGGTTGTAAGCACAACCCCCACCTGTGGACATTGTGCCCTCATACCACCCTCATGGAGTCTGTATCTGACCATTTGAGCAGACACATGCACATTTGTGGCCTGCTGGAGGTCATTTTCCAGGGCTCTGGCAGTGCTCCTCCCGTTTCTCCTTGCACAAAGGTGGAAGTAGCAGTCCTGCTGCTGGGTTGTTGCCCTCCTACAGCCTCCTCCAAGTCTCCTGATGTACTGGCCTGTCTCCTGGTAGCGCCTCCATGCTCTTGACACTACGCTGACAGACACAGCAAACCTTCTTGCCACAGCTCGCATTGATGTGCCATCCTGGATGAGCTGCACTACCTGAGCCACTTGTGTGGGTTGTAGACCTTGTCTCATGCTACCACTAGAGTGAA